TAAAAATCACTCAACTCTGGCAATTCGATCCAGGTTCGAACTGCATCGTTGTTGTTGTGGTTTTCTCCTTGTGTAGCTGAAATACGAGTCAGTTTTAGTGAAAATTTAATTGTTTGAATCAGTATGGCTTCTTTTTTCCCTGATGCCCCTACTCCCACCCCCGGCTTATAACAATAGCTATCAGAATTTACAAATTTTAGGGTACCGATATCGTTAAAATTTAAATAAACATCCTGTCTGGAATTAATGGGATACAAAATGTTATCTATTTCCTATTAGAAGTTACTGAGTCATTGCCGTTTGGGTTGTAATTGGCAATCACTCTCTTTATCGTCGATTGGTCTGTCTGTCCGCGACGTGGTGGGTCCTAAATTAACTAAGAAGGATGTAACGAGAATTTGGCGACCATATAATTGCTGTCACAGAGTTGTTTCGACATACACAGGAAGAGCTAAATGTAATCTATACGAGACTGGACTTCCATTTATGCGTGAATGATATTGATTGCTATTTATTTTCGGAAATATTTCTTTTCAAAGCAAGGCCACATTAGACTGGATGTTTATTTTAAGAAATACGCATAGTAACAGTGTATAACGACTCCTGTAAAACTAACCGCAAAGAGAAGAAAAGAAAAAAAAAAATAGAGAGAGAGAGTGTTAGCAATAATTGTAAAAAATAAGTTTGCACAAAAATTGCACATAGATTTTTTACAATTAGATTCTGTTTGAGATTCAAAAATATACTTTAGCATAATAATAGATTGTAGGTAACATAATTCAGCAGTCACTGGAAATGTTATTTGAAGTGAAGAATTTTATTTATAGGGATTTGCTGAGGGATTGCTTTGTCAGATTATCAGTCGTCATTTTAATGCATTTTTCTCAGTATTGCAAACTATGGTTGAAATTATCGTTTCTGTTTCATAAAGGTTTTAAGATATTAGCTTAGTCGTAAACAAATGTTTAGTCTTTAGTCTTCCAAACAACTGATTGGAAAACTTAATTCATAAAAAAGTAAAGGTGGAAAGAATTTTAAATTTTCTGTACCCCCGAAAAGATTTACGGTGCCTTACCAATAACAGAGTTCTTAAAATTACTGAGCACTAGTTAGTAGGAAACGAGTTCAAATCTCGGCAGAAAAGCATATTTGTGGTTTTTCGCATATGTGACGTGAATATAAGCAACTTTCCTTTATGAAGTTCCTTACGTCTTCTACGAAGCACCCCTTGCTGATAGCCATGGTGTTGTTTTGGTATTTCTAATTAATCTAACCCACCTCAAGATTTTTTGCCTTATGCACCCCTTTTACCATAGCTAGATGATCATCCCTCCTCCCATCCTAAACTCGAAAAATACATATACATTTATTTAAATTTAGATTATTTTTAATGTATTTTATTAATTAAACAAGAAAAGGTGTAGAAAATGGTGATAAATACCAAAACTTGAATAAAAGTAGCTTGTTATATCCATAAACTAAAATACTTAACAGATAAATAAAAGGCTGACCGCATTCCCCGCTTGATACCATGAAATAAATCCCTTTCCAGGGAGGAATTTCGCCTGGTTGGGAACCTTTGATCTAACCTAACCTAAAATGTTTTCGAATCGCGGATCTCTCATATCTTTCGTACGAGAATGCTAAGAAAGAGGAAGCCGAAGGGGGATTTCCTCATTATTAAGAGTTTTTAATTAAAGCAAAATTTTAAATTTGCATACAGTGAAAAATAAATTTAGGAACATTTTGAAACATACTTCTGTATTTATTAAGGAAATATAAATGAGATTAAGTTAAAGAAATAAGTAATTCAAGTTATTGAAAGTTGAGGCCTATTTTTGCAACCTAATACGAAATAAAATATTTAAGTAATAATTTAAAAGTTTCTACCGTTTTCGTCATTCACTTAAATCATAGTTTGTGTAGAGGTGGAAAGAAATTATTTCAGGATTTAACATATAAGTGAAGATCAAAAGGCTGTACAATCCAGATTTGGTATACCAGTCATGCATTTGGTATACCAGTCGCCTTGAGAATTTAGATAGTCATTCCACCGCCTCACCGGGTTGAATATACCCCGTTAGTTAAAACACCTTTTTCTGCTGCTTGAAAGAGTCCCAAACTGCCTGCTGCCTTCCGACCGGAACGAGCGACCTTTCAAAGAATTTTTTAAAGGGATCGAAAGCGTAAAAATTACATGGGAAGAGATCAGGAGAGTAAGGTTGGTGCTCGAGTGTATCCCCTCTAGTGTTTCGATACTTTAAATATGGGCACGAGCGTTATCATAAAATGAATCACCCCATTCCTCAGTTTTCCGGGACTTTTCATCTTAATTGCACGTCGTAATCTCCAGAGTTTCTCAGTACAGTTCCCCAGCAATGGAGACACCTGGATCCTTGAAATCAATAAGCAATGGGCCCTGGAAATAGAAGAACAGGTAAGCATCACTCTTCCCAGCAGATGACTGGCTGTTCTTGGAGGACGAAAGATGACGTCACTGTATAGTCGACGCTTTCGATGCAGATTTTCCTGTAGTGGCACCAGGTTTTGTCGTCCGCAGCTATGCGTTAAAGGAATATGTTGCCTTTGCATTGCAACAGGGGCTTCAGGCAAACAGCCATCCAATTCGATTTTTGTTCGGAATCCAACTCCCGGGGTACCCATTGGGTACAGACCTTACGGTAGCCTAACTCCTGTCATATAATGCGTTGCAGGCTACCGAAGCTTAGGTCGATATTCTCTGAAAGCACACGAATGGATATACGACGTTCCGCCATAAGCGCACCATCATCTGCCCACTTGTTGTTGTCTGTAATGGATGTGGAGTGCATCCTAGATCGATTTGCATCTTGAGTCGAATCGCGACCAGCACTGAATATACACCATCATTCCACAACGGTGGTTTTCGACAGGCATATGTTTATCCATGCACATTCTTCATTCTCTGATGAATATCTGCCGGCTTTTATCCTTCAGCCAAAAAAAAAAAAAAAAAAAAGGAATAACAACATGTTGGTCCTGTATAGACGCATCTGGTAATGACGTCGGTATTGGTAATGTTCGTGCATTTTCGGCACACTCTTCCGAAGTACACGAATGCCATAATAATGCCATGTCAAGATGGCGGTGCTTATAAAACTACATCGGCTACGCGCTAATTTGCATTATACGCTGCAGCGACGCCCCCGGACGGAAGATTTTCGATAACCCCTTATAGATAAACACTGAACATAGCACGTTAAATTATCTCCAGAAAATTATGAAAAATGAATTAATTATTTTGTTATGTGTGTTCATGAAAGCATACTGCACTGTAGCACTCGTGGCCTTGACGAAGTTGATGTTGATAATCTGGGTACCATTGAAAATATATTATTCCCTTTCTTTCTTTTTCAATAAACGAAATAAATAAAATTTCTTTTTCAATAAACTTTCAATAAACGAATAATAAAATATTCTTCTTTTGGATTACAATGAAACTAATCAATTTTAATTTTTTGTTAATTAATTTAACTCGAAAGATTCGCATGACGAAAGAGGTGCGGAGATTCGAATTTTCAAATCTCGATTCCCCCCCCTCCAAGATTTATGGGATTTGAGTGCTCGAATTTCCATTTCCTCTGCAAAAATATCGAAATGCATCATGGCATAGATATTAAAAATCATAGTATCGATAGATGTATATTATCATAGTATAGATATTAAAAATTACAATTTAATCATAGTACAGATATTAAAAAAATGTTCAAATGATTTAAAACTTTTAAAATAATTGAAAATATGGATATTTAATTAAATTACAATTTTCAATAAAAGTGTTTTAGAATGTAATACAAGGAATAAAAAAATATATAAATTTTTCCAAAAAAGACGAAAATTGGTGAATTTCTGGGAAAGAGGGAAAATTATTCATGGGATAATAGTAATTATGAAAATTAAACAACGGTTTCTTTTTTAAACATGGTAAATGAAATATATTACGTAAGCCAAAAGATGTAATATTTTCATGATTTTCACTTTTGATGTAAAAATAAATCAACTCATTTTCTGTACTTTTAATTTGCCGGCAGTTGTGTTTCTAGAAAATGTAATATTGTTATACCTGAGCTGACTTTTTTTGTTAAAGATTTTATTTTGCGAGTGTAGCCACCCAACGGGATAGTGGTTAGCTACTCTGACTATTGTGCCGAAGGGCCCGGGTTCGAATCCCGAAAATGGCATAGATGTTTTAAATGTATAGTGGCATTGGAGCATTCCCAAATAGATGGTGAGCCGAAAGGCCTCTCGTGTGGTTTTCGTGGTAGAGAAAGAGAGGTGGAAGACCTTTGAACCGCCCCGCGTGGTGCTCTTCCTCAGAATTGGGGTGGAACTGGGCAAAATACTGCTGTCACGTATAGGGTGCTCATTGTCAACGACAGACGCAATCTTGTACTTCTTGTCACGATAAACGTCGTGGGCTTGTTCTAATAGGTCAGACAAATGAGATTAGTCACAACAACGACTTTGTGCATATAAGTTGCAGTTAAAGCTTATTGTAGAGTATATCGATGCGTCAAATTAAAATATATCTAGCTTAGAAATTTTAGATTTTGTTTAACGCATTTCATCAAATGGGCATTTTAGAAATTATATTTTATCTTATTAGTGTATCTATATTTAGATTTCATATTTAATTGAAAGAATCTTATTGTTAAATAACAATCAATATAACTAGCTAATGCTCATAAAGAATTGCAGATTAACTTATTTGACATAAATCGTCAGTGTGCAGAAAAGGAAATATTTTCTAATTAATTTATTACGAATGTAAATACTGCGTTTCCTTCTTGAATAGCGATATGCCTTCATTACGCTCGGACAAGACCTTGACGCGCATCTAGCGTAAGCCCTGGCAACAGCATGTCTCGGTTGGGCTCATTTTGGCGATAGTTCTTGGCGTTAGTTTTGCCGAAGTGTGGCAGCCTCGCCAAACATCCTGCGGGAGTTCGACGCCGAAGTCATCTATGCCGACTGTTAATCACTCGCTTTCAGCGCTGGAGTGGGAAAGTAGTGTTGAGCGGTAGCGGTGAGGTCCCGAGAACCGTTATTTAAAGCGGTTCGTTTCAAAATTTTCATACTCACTGGTTCTGTTTAGTGTTTATCATTACGATGCTTGGCGCTGTAGGAGAGTGAATCTGTGATATATATGCATTTTAAAAATATTTCTGATAATTTTTACTTGAAATAGAATTTTTGCCTTAAAAGTGGACATTTCGTCTCTAAATAGTATACAAATTTTTGAAGATTGTAATCTGCGTTTTATTTTGCAAAGATTTTTATATTAACAGCAAATAGATTATTAGAAATTAGATTTAAATCTCTTATACAAGAGCAAGCAATCAGTGGATACATGGAAATGACACTGCTTTGTCGCTGTACTTAAATCCCCTAAATAGACTTAAATAGAAATTATCTTCTCAGGTGCGTATCCACACTTTCCCACCGATGTGCATAGTTGATAGCATAAATATTAAAATGCGCGAGCAGCAGCCGGCTAATGGCGAGGGTAACGCGACCGCTGTCGTCCGACCACGTATCCATCATCCGGATGTCCAGAATGAAGACGATCTGGACATTCGGGACATAAAACTCGTGTCAAATATACTTCGTAATCATCAAGTTATTGCTTCTTCCTCTACAGAATGCCTGAGTTGCTTCCACGATGTGTGTGTGCCCTTCGCCCCTTCTCACCTGTGCCAGAGAAGTCCTGGAGAACCTCCCCCACCTACGTTGGAGCGTGAAATAGTAAGTACAATTTTTTTTCCACTCCTCCTTTCTTTTTTTTTCATCCCGACCGCGTTTACATTTTGAACCAAAGTGAAGATATGGTTTACACTTTTAAAATGCTATATTTCCTTCTGTGGTATAAAAATGCAACCTTGTGCTACTGCAAACCAAGAAAAATTGCTCAGAGATGTCTTTTCGGCGAAATAGATTTTTTAGGTAACTATTTGAGGTTGACCAATATTTTGTAATGTAAAGAAGTCTTTTTTTTATACATCGCAGAGTTTGCAAATTATGGCTATCAAAATATTTTTGTGTTTAATTCAAACAAAAGTAATACGAAAAAACTGCGAGAGTTGAAAATGATATGAAACTTTCACCCGGATTCATCGCCTTCGAATTCAATCAGTTATTTCACTAACTTCCCATTAATTTTGAGATTCCAAAAATTTTTTAACTGAAAATGCATTCTATTTTTACCGTTATAACGGAACTCTTTATTCCTTTTTGAGATGTCACAGGGAATTAGTGTGTATGTAAATAATAAGTTTATATATAATATATATATATATATGGTTTAGTATGAATAATTATAAGAATAAAAAATCTGAAAGATAGCTTCACATAAATTTTTTAAAGTATAACCTTTCGATATTACTTGAGTAGGAGCTCGTTATTATATAAGAGCTTAATTTTTAATATGAATAATTCTAAGAACTTAATTTTTAAGCTGAACTATTTTAGAAATATATATATATATGAATGTACGGAAGGGAAAAAATGATTGTTTTTTATCCTGTCGTCATTTTGAAAATTTACAATTATTTTATTATTGTAGAAAAGGAAATTTACCTCTCTAACAGCACTGTTTTGTTCATCTGCTAAAAATTATTAGAAGGAGTTAATCAAGTTAGTGTTAGTGAAGCTTTGAAATAAGAACTTTTATTTTTTTTTTTTTTTTTTTCCCACCCCGTGTGGGAGGAGGACTTTTGGAAAATGAAAATACCTTCGCTCTGCAGCAAGAATGGTGTCTTCTGCATGTCACTTAACTAGAGCAAGACCTGTTTAGAAATTCAGGACCACAATCATACTATTTTTTTCGGGGGGGGGGGGCTTCCGCTATTAATTTTCCTTGTTTACATGAAAGAAAGCATTTATCAGAAAATACTATACGGTTGCTTCTACGCCAGGGGTAGGCAAAAACTGGCTTGCGGACCGTATAATTTCCTTAATACGGCCGATTATAAAATCCTCTGCAGCGCCATTTTCATCTTTTTCCTATCCAATGTTGCAGGTAAACTACCAAAACCAGCAGTATAAGTGTACATGTGTTATAGTATTATATGCACATACATACACTTGCTTTGAACTTAAGCAGAGAATATTAGATATGCTAGAAAACATGTGCATCCGCCGAAGAATATTGTTCTTTAATTTTTTAGCAGCTTTAATTTAGAAATTAGGCAGTTAAATATGAATATTGTTGAGATAAAGAGACTGATTAGAAAAAAAGCAAGGTGACAAATGAGTTGGAATAAGTAAACATAAGTGAGTTGGAATGTAAATTAGACGAAATAATCGCAAACGAACTTTTGAGATATCACATTAAGTTTGTGCTAACAAGTAATTAGTTTTAAAACACAATATTTTGTGATAAATATAAAAAGCAGTACGAAGCTCTAAATTGATAAAAATGTCTGGTTAATCATTGATGCCTTTTTTGCTTGATATTCCTGGAAATTTAGGTTTGTATATTGTATTTCATTGGTCGAGCAGAGCCGTGGTGACCCAGTATTCACTATCTAGAACTTACTTAAATTTAAAATAAATAAATAAATTAATTAATTAATTGAGAGCATAAAATGCTATTGTAATTTTTTTTTAATTCTGCCGGTTAGGGGGCTTTCCCCCCATCGCATTCTGATAAACAAAAAGGAAAAGATCGTCACACTACCATTGTCGTTGCATCTTGCGACGGCTCTTCAAGTACGTGCATCATGCATGAAGAAAAGTATTTGCCGTTGTTTTTAAGTATTTGTCGACCCTATAAGACACAGACCTGTTTACTCTATTAAAGCACAGACCTCTTATTCTTCTTGTAAGCACTGGCAGTAATCAAGATTTGACTCCGAACTAGAAACGTAGCTTTGTTTTTCACGTACTAAGATAGTTGTGTGTTAATTATTAAATGTTGCATTTCTGAATATGTGTGTGATCTAAAGAATATATGACACCTCCACTCTACTTAAACAGTCAATTTTCTTTATAAAATTAATTTTTCATGTTAATATATCATTTTTTTTTGCGAAATGCCACTTATATATTAGCTTTTTTTAATAAGAATGTATTATATGAATTTTAGTTTAATTTTTGTTAAGGCACTGTAGTATTCTAAATGAAGCCGCGTAATAGAGCAATTCTTGAATTATTTTATAATGTGTGTTTGTGTTTGTAAATAATAAAATTAGAGACCTTTGTTCGTACTCGCAATCTGATCATAAGTCTATTTATCGAAACTGCAACCATACAGGCGCATGCATCCATTTCTTACGTGATACCTTAAGAGCCTAGAACAGTGGTTCTCAATCGCTTTTGTCAGTTGCACCTCTTTCACCATTGCTAGATCATTTCCCCCTTTTCCATAACTTTAAAAATGCATGTATACATTTATTTATATTTATATTATTTTTTAACTTGTTTTATAAATTAAATTATAGGAAATGTTAATATAATAAATAATATAGGAAATGTTTTGCCAAAACTTGAATGAAAGTAGGTTTTTTTTTTTTATATATATTCATAAACTAAATATTTAACTTAAATAACTAAATAAAGGCTGAACTAATATTAAACTAAATATAAACTAAATGTTAAAATAACTAAATAAAGGCTGACCGCATTCCTTCTATTGAAACTATGAAATTCTCCTCTAGGAGGGAATCTTTCCCGGTTGAAAACTTCTTTTCTAGAATAACGGTTTTCAAACTGTGCTTTGCTTAATTGGGCTTTTCGGGCAACTATTCAAAGGGTTCCGTAAGTCAAAATCCAAAGAATTTTTTAATAAGATGTGGATTGCAAAACTAACATCTAAAATAATTTATTAAATAATATTTTTATTTCTGTTGTTATTATTATGTAAAACTACATGCAGTTTATCTGTTTTTTAATGAGTGAAATTGCAATTAAAAAAAATTAAAAAAAAAAAAAAAGATTTTCATTTTCTGCGAGATGTTGATATTTTTATTTGAACATTAATTTTTCTAAAAATAGAAATGTATTAACGAAAAATAAATAAATAAATAAATAAATAAAAGTGAAAAGGTTAAGGTAAAGAAAAGTATACTTTCAGGGATTCTGGCATTGATTTTCAACCACTTTTTCACTTGATTTTCAACCATAAATAGCCCGTTTAGAGAATTAAATTTCTTGGTCATTTTATAAAACCCATTCTTCAAAACAAATATGATGAATGACGGCGGTCTTTCTTCCCCCCTTTCCTTCTTTAGCATTGAAATAAATTATGAACGAATGATAAATGCATCATATAAAATAATAAAACCATATGTGTATATTTATTATGTTATATAAAATTTTTTACGAAAACTTCTGAAAAGAAATTTAATGAAAAAATGTATTTGCCTAAAATTAAATTTTTTTCATATGAATTCTTTCTTATTATTAAAATCCAGTAGCTATTCAAATGTTTGCTATTCAAATTCCAGTTTGCTATTCAAATTTCGACTGAGACAGCTCTTCTGTCTTGCAATAAAAATTTTACAATCCAAAGTTATAGTAAAGCCTCTTAAAATGTACCTGTCATACCGAATACTTTATTTTTTCGTTCTACTGGCTACTACATTTTTGCATGTCCTGCTGGTTGAGAACCAGAAATGATCTGTGCAAAAATTGCCCTCTTTTTTAAATGTATCAGACGAACAACACAGTATTTTCATGAACGTGTTTATCATTCGTATAATAAATTCGAAAGAGAAAAAGACTCAAATTTTTCAGAAAACGTAAAAAGCTAGTATAAGCTTAGCTATATATATATATATATATATTTATAAAACAGAATTTTAAAAAATTCGAACTTGATTTAAATTTATGAAATTGTTATTTATGAAAACAGGCATACGATCGGTTATCAGCATGTAAATGGTATTCAACATAAAATTGACCCCAGTAGGAACATCTTCGGAGTATGTAGCAATTGCCGTGAAGATCTTACACACGTTCTTAGTTGTGATTAATAAATGAACTTTAAAGAATAGGGTTAAAATGCTGCATGTGGCTTTAGAATGCGTGCGAAAATTAAATAGAGTACTTTACATAAACAGAAGTGCAGTAAAAATTATGAAGTAAATTTATTAAACACAGTAAAATTGTTCGAAATATCATATTAGACTTCGAATATATGAATTCCAGTTATAAATGGAAATTAGAAAAAGTGACTATTGAAAAACAGGGTTAAGCCTATATAATTTTCAACTTTTATTACTTCCTGCCGTTGTTTCAATAAATTTTCTCCTTCGTTAAGTAATCCTAAGAACTGGAAAAATCGAGCAGATGATTATGAATTAGTCATATCACTCCCCGCACACGAAAACAAGTGGTATTTAAGGCATGCAAATATGGAAGAAATATTGTTTAAAGATCCCAATAGTTATATTCCGTTATTGAAAAATTAAAGCTAAAACAGCGCTGTGGAAATTTAAAGTGTGAACGCGCTTTGTGATAGTCTTCTGTCTTCCACCACCTTGAATATTGTTATTACTGAACACAGAAGAAACAAGACTTAGGACATAAATTGGTGTTAACTTTTTATATGTCTTGGAAATAAATGTAGAAATTTTGTTTTGGTGTTTAGAACATCATCATATTTCTAAAGGCTTGGTAAAATATCTTCCTTTCTTTAATGATTTCCTTATAGCTACGATTAAGAATTTCAAATTTGAAATTGTGGTATTCGAAGATTTTTAAATTACGTGAGTCATTTTACTTGATAATATTTTTAACCGCTC